CAAAAGCAACAATTGTGCAATATAATCTCCTTGTTCTATTACCCAAAGTCCTGTGGAGCTAACAGGAAGACACAATTCAGAGTTACAATCAGAATCAACAATAGCTGGAATAACAGTAATGCCTTTTCAAAGTTAGAGAGGATTTTCCAAGTATCAAACCAATTGTTCCGGTGGTGGTGTTGGCGGGGGGGGGCTCCATGAATTCCTGTGGGGACAGATACTGGAGTCTTACCTCCCAGCAGGTGAACTCTCTGAGCAGCAGGAAGATCTATTCCTGAGCTCCCGAGTGTTCCCCTGATGAGGGAAGAAATGTCCCTCCGGCCACCCATGCCATCTGATTTTGTACTTGTGCACAGGTCTGAACTGGGTACTGCTGACTCAAGGGGACTGGAGCCCCCTGGCCCTGATCTCCTATAGTTTGCTGGGCCCAATTTCCATTTTCCTGGCAGCAGTGTGCCATCCTTATCATATTTGGAGTGGCAGGCTTTAGCCCAGTGAATGCCTTTTCGACAGCGAGGGCAAGGGCCAGGCGGTAACTTATTTTCTTTGGATGCCTGACCTAGTGGCCCTGGGTCAGCTTGTAAAGCCACTTTCATTTTGCAGTTTTTTCTGAGATGCCCCGATTTTCCACAGTTAAAACATTTTAAATCACTGTGTGTACCGCGTAAATGTTGGGAGATGGCTTGAGCCATCAGAGCTGAATTGTATAGAGGAGACCCAATATTCTGGCATGCCTTAATATATGCACCAAGATCTTTAGAGGGGCAAACAGGATTTATTGCCTGTTTGCAATCCATATTAGCATTTTCATACACTAGCTGTAAAATCAGGATGTCTGCTGCCTGGAAATTAGAAATCTGTCTCCTAATAGTTTGTTGTAATCTTGCTACAAATTCTATGTAAGTTTCCAATGGCCCTTGCATGATTTGAGTAAAAGATTGCATCAGAACACCATCAACTGACACAGAAGCCCAACCCCTCCACAGGAGGTCTTCTAGCTGGTGAAAGAGTAACACTGGAGCCAGATTACATATCAATAGTAACTTCTCTGACTGAGCATCTCCCTGAGCATTTTTATGAGCCTGTTCCCTGATTAATGAACGCAGTTCCACCTCAAAGTGGAGATACTGAGAGGGGGACAGGCACATTTTCACAAGGTGAAAAACATCATGCGGAACCAGAGAATAAGTCTGAAGTACATTGCCCAACAAACCCACTGTATAGGGGCTTTGGACGCCATTAGTTAGCACGCTCTGCCTGCAGTCCTTCAGGATGTTAAAATCAAATGAGGCATGAACATACATACATGTCCACCTCTGAGTTGTCAGGATCAGGCAAAACTGAGATAGGAAAGCACAAAGGGTCTCCAACCGCCTTGCTCGATGCAGGGTACAGCATTAGGGAGTGGCCCCAGAAGTGGGCTTCATAAGGGGGCGCAGCTGGACCTTTGCGAGATACCTGAGGAGGCTGAGGGGCTAGAGAATTAGGGGCCTCCTCAGCACGCTTTAGTGGTGGAGCAGAAGCCACAGTGAGATGAAAACACAGAGGGGAGAAGCCAAACAAGGGGAAGCCTGGACAGAAGGGCAGGTGGGGGGAGGGGTGGCTGAGGTCTCCTGAACTGACTGAGAGAATTTGAGAGCAGAGTGGACTGAGGCCCAAGTGAGGAGCGTTGGGCGGGGGGGGGGAGGGAGACGTTCACTCCTTCGCCGGGGCTCACGGAGAATGGTACCTACACGTTCCCATGCTATTAAGTTAGTTGTCCCTTCCTGGGGAAAAGATGGGGCATACATTTGTATGTCTTTTAACAAATCTATCACAGCATCCTTAGGTACTGGGTACATAGCTTGCTTTAACAGCGACTTAAGTAATTTGGCAAAGTTACGCTGCTCCGATGACAGAGACTGACCCATAGTTGTAACTCAGCAAAGATAGAAAATTATCCTCAGCTGGACACATTTACCACCAGTGTCCCTTGTCTGAGTCTGTAAATCATCCTGGGAGATCCGTATGCTGTCTCTTTTACTCTGAGTTTGTCTCACAGGCGAGTTCACCCCTGGATCCGATTCACATCCAGTTAGGAGCCAAATGTAGGGAACAGGGAAAGGGGACGATACTAGAACCTCTGCAGTAAGTCCTAGTCTCCTGGGAGCCACGGCAGCACACGGCGAATTAACTTATACAGGAAAGGTAGAAAAATGAGACTGAGAAGAAGCTGGGCTTTGGGTCTGATCAGTGCTGCTCTGGGCGTTAAAGACGAAAGCCCCCAGCTTACCGCACCTTTTATTCAGTACATCGGGAGAAACAAATGTAACAAATGACTTGCAGAGAGTTCAGTACATCCGTGTAAACAAATGTAACAATCCAAGAACAATGAGGAACTGAGTAGATGAAGATTTTTTTCCTCCCAGGATGTCTTCAGCTGGTGCAATCTTGTCCTGGAGCGTCACAGCATCACCCAATCATTGAGGTCTCAGTTGTGATCGGGGCCAAAATGGAATTATGTCTCAAAAGTGCCATTGCTGGCCTGTAGGCAGGAGAACTAGGATTTTTCCCTAAAATTATATAGCATTGCTCCCAACATGGCTTGCATTTTATTTTCGTTGGATAGTGTTGTCGTATAGTAAAGTTGTTAAGAACATAAGATTTGTAGCCAGGGTATGATTCCTGCCTATATCATTTAGTAGCAGTGTAACTCTGGGCTACTTTTTGTACTTAACTTTGCTTTAATTTTTACTTCTGTAAAATGAGTGTAATAGTAATATCCATTTCCAAGATACAGTGTGAAGATAAAACAACATGAAAGAAGCAAAGCACTTAGCACAATGGATAACTTAAATAAGGTGATAAAACTTTAGTCATTAGATACGCTTTTGTGATTACATTATCAGACTTTACGCTTTAGTTGGGCATTATCTTTATTTTTTCTCTTTTCAAAATTTTTGATTTACCCATAGTAAAAGAATTTCTAGGTAGGCACTGTAATAGACCGGACACACACACACACACACATAGAAACAGACAAACAAATTCTTTAAGAGAGAAAGAATATATCCGGCAAATGTTCATTAGGTTTGGCTACAAAAAATTTTTAATGCTTCTTTAAGATAGTATTGCCTAAAGTATCTCTATAGACTATGTGGAAACTATCACCCAGCTTTGCAATGATAAACCAGAAAGAAGTCTCTTAGCCAGGAATTGGTGATGTGTTGGAAACAGTATTGATCTGGAACTTGAGACCTGGGCTTTAGCCTTAAGTCTGCCATTCCATTTGTTTGGACTCATTTCCTTGTTTAAAATCATCAGGTTGAACTAGATTATAAACCTAAAGCCCCTTTAGGGTTATATTAATGCCAATGTATCATATGGCTTGAATGTACAGACCAGTTATTCTGAAGTTTTCCAGCTTATACTGGGAGGGAAGCTATAAAGGAAAAACTACAAGGTCATGGTAGAATAGAAGCTGAAATTTTTTATTTACCCAGAAAATCTTACAAGATGCTTTAGGTGAAACTAAACTATGCTTTTCAAAGTTGACTTTAGTTTAGTTTTTTGGGATTTTTTGGTACCGGAGATCGAACTCAGGTCCTTACACTTGCGCAGCAGGTGATGAAACCACTGAGCTAAATCCCCGGCCCTGACTTTAGTTTTAATAGAGTCAAATGCAAACTTAGATTGCATTAAGGCACCATTATATATAACCATATAGATAGATAGAGAAATACCTGGGTTTTAACCCCAGCTTTACCATTAGATAACTAAATAAATCTCGAATTAGTTGTTGTTTTATATTATTTTGCCTTCTCTATATGTAATGACATGAAATGTAATCATTTAACATGTCACACAGAGTGGGCTCTTAATATTTTTGTTGTATAGTGTTTACTTTAATATTTATAAAAGTACATTGGGGAAAATAATTTAACACATTATGTGAATAGAGATCTGTAAGTTTTAAAAGCCTAAAACTTAGGTCATTCTTGAAAAGTTCTATTTAATCTTCAAGGAATAGTTGGTTTTTTTGTTTGTTTGTTTTTCAGATCTACAGACCATTGAAAAAGATGGAGAATTAGCTAACATAATCTTAAACCTTTGCTGTCAGTATGTGGGGGACTGGGGATGCATACTTTGATGTATGGATTTTTGGGGAAAAAACAAAAATGCAGACTCCTGGATAGTCCCATTTCTGGGAATTATTCATACTCAAATACTGTATTAATATATGCTATCATGCTAATATATATTTTCATAGTGTATTAGGATTTATATCCAAGGATATTTGTTTTATAGTTTATGATAAATAAAAACTGGAAACATTAATGACTGTTGATCACTAGAGGAGCAATACTATGAGATATGGTCAATATGGCTGTTGACCAAGACGAATGTTCATAATGATATTGTTTGGTGTGACAGTATAGATTATTGTGCATAATGTTACCCATTTTGTTCATAAAAAGAGAAAAAGCCTATAGATTTTAAATGTGTGCATCAACCATGAGAAATGTGTGGAAGAATTGGGTTAAGACAGGGGATGAGGTTGGTGAAGTGGGAAACGTATTTTTATAATTTGTTGCAGTGTTTATTATGATGTCCATTTAATATCTTTGAGGGAAAATTGCTGAATAAATTCAAAGTATAAGGATGTGAGTTCTAAAGATGCTTTAGTTAACCACAGACATGGAAAATAGAAAAGTATTATTCCACACCCCGTGCTATAGAGTATTATTATTATAAAGTATTATTATTATAAGTATAATAGTAATAATAATTATTATTATATTATAATATTATATAATATATATAATATTATAATAATATATTATTATTATAAGTATTATTATAAGTATTATATATTATTATAAAGTATTATTATAAAGTATTATTCCACACCCCGCGCTATAGTACCTGTTTCCATTTACAACTACTATAGCAAATTACTTCTTAAAAGAAATATGTTTTACACTAGAGCTTGTGGCATTAATGATTTTTTTCTTTTATAGCAACTCCGCTCCAATATTCGAGAAATGGAGAAGCTTTGTTTGAAAGTCCGAAAGGATGACCTGATACTTCTAAAGAGAATGATAGATCCTGTTAAAGAAGCAGCTTCAGCAGCCACAGCTGAATTTCTCCAACTCCATTTGGCATCTGTTGAAGAACTTAAAAAACAATTTAATGATGAAGAAGCTTTATTACAACCTTCTTTGACCAGATCCATGACTGTTGGTGGTAATGTATTATACTAAGGCTTATTCTTGACCACAATAATGCAGTTAATTAAAGCTCACCTACTTGAGTAGAGATTGTAGATTATCTGTAGGTCTTCAAGGATCACTTGCTTTCCCAGTATACTGAATCTTTGAGTGCTACTGGCTGGCAACGATGTACCCTTGGGATAAAATTGTTGCAAGGGTTGGAACTCAGGACTTGAAGTACCTATTTGCCTAGGTGCTAGAAAGAAATTTTAAGATATTTCCTAAGGAGAATGTCATCCTTTGTCTGCAGCTTACTTCTCACCTCTCTCCAGTGCAGGAGTGACTTGTTTTTTCTAGTTTTCACAGGGTTGTTAGATCTATTGCTTAACTCAGTTCTCCAAATTTAACTGACAACATAAAAAATATACAATGGGGATCATGCCATCAACTTATGTGAAGAAACTGTCATGTGAAACTTGTCATTATATCATTTTTGAGGATATAAGTGATGTTGATTACATTATAATAGTATCTTTAATCCTGAAAAAAATTATTGGCTAAATACATAGCAGTACTTCAAAGTAGCTGGTCTTTTTTTTTTTTTTAATCTTATGGTTATTGAATGCAATAATTGATAAGATTTCCCTACATGAGATGCCTATTAGAAAGCTTAAAGCCAAAATTTTTAACCACCAAAAGTTAAATTTTTAAAATATACTGGTCTTATTTTATAACTACTGCCCTTGTTTTCTTTTTTGTCATTTTATTGTTTATGTTTTAAGTTTATTCTTCTTTATTACATTTTATGTGTCATAAGATGCCTTTAATCCTAATGGAAATGAAGGGGTATAATTACAAATTAAATAGAATGTTAAGGATGCTATCCTTGCCCAATTTTTCTTTTTCTTTCTTTTTTTTTTAAATTCTTTTATTGGTACATTTTAGGTATACAATATGTTTACATTTCTCATTGGGAACTTGTACCTTTACATGATGTATCTTGGTTCTTATTTTTCCCCATTCCTAGCCCTCCCTTCCCTATTGACAAAGACTTTGTTTCCATTTTTTCCATTTCTCATAACCAATTTTTCCTTTACTATTTATAGGGGAACTCCTGTTCCACTCTATTTCCAAATCCAAGTTGTTTCTAATTTTATATTTTCAGTGCTAATTATTTAGTAGTTTGCAGATAAATTTTTTTTCAATTGGAAAATAACATTTGGGCCATCATTCAGAGTTTCTGGATAATGTTGCTTTTGTTATTTCCTCAGTAGCTAACACAATGCTTTGTACGTAGTAGACTATTCATAAGTATTTTATAAATATAAATGAATAAATATCTTTATAGAGACAATTTTGTAATTTCAGATGTGCCGTAATTACCTCACTAGATAACCGACACTTAGCACTCAAACCTTGGTTGAAGAATATTTGGGAATCATGCTTTTTGTTAGTTTATAGTTACTGGTTTCATTATTAGTTCATCTATAGTTATCACCACCATACTGTTGAGGGTGAAGGCTGTGTTTATCACCTAGTGCAATCTAGTACTGTCTGTGTGTATGCAGAGAAACTGGGCTTTACAGTTCCCCGTGATTAAGGAGACATCCTATGTACCCAGATGTTGTGACAGTTAATGATGGCAGTAACAACAGTGACAATAAGCTAGATTTTCTGAAGAGTAGCCAGCATCAGTCTCTTACTATTTAGCTTTGAATTGCCCATCAACAATTCCCTATCAAGCAAAAATTTTTAAGTTCTGGGAGTTTTTGCACAATACTGTATAACAATAATCTAATATTGTTCTAATTTGTATTTTATTATTGCTTTGTTTGTGTTTCTACCATAGAACTGTTTGTGCTAAATAAATTTGGGCTTATAGATCACTAGAGGAATTGGGTGATTGTTAGAAGAAGGTAGTTTACCCTGTTTGCTAACGATGAACTTTCTCTGTAAGAAGCAGACCAGTGTACAAACTAATATTGGCAGAATTTGAGGAAGCATGTGTATAGAGGAAATGAAAAAGATTAGGACAGATCCAGATGATGAAGAAGAAATAGGTGAAATTCACTTGCCAACTCTATTGATTCTCAAACTGCTCAATTCATGGGATACCAAATAGGCTGAACATCTAATTACTTGCCAGTAGGAGAAAACTACAAAGTAGTGCTGATTTGATTAAAACAGTCATTCTATTTATAAAATCACACACCTAAGTTATACGTAAAAGTGTGTAACATTTCAAATTTTGAATAATTTCCTGATCAGATTGTGCTTTGACTATAAATTCATTGTGAACATAAAAGAAATTAAAATTACTGTCTCAACAAGTGTCTTAAGTTTTTTACAAAGGGTGAGTTTCTACTAGATTACCTTAAGTCTCGAAAGATTTTTAACAAATGATAGAGAGGATGGGAAAGGAGAAAAATAATGAAAAAATATGAGTAATTTATGTAAGACTTTAATAGTGGGGTAGGAATTGGGTTTGCTCCGTATGTGGTCATCTTCTGGCTATAGACACTTTTCTGTCATTCTACATGTTTTTAATCTGTAATCTCCAGTTTTTTCTTATTTTTCCATTAGATACTCATTATAGTAGTGACAGCCTATACAGAAAAATGTGTTTTATTTGCATAGAAGTACCTTAAAATACTTTTTTCTTTACAAATCTGATTCTAAATAAATTTCTTGGAAATATCAGCAGAGATTCAGGAGCAATGTTGCCACATTTCCATGAGTGAGATCAAAAGTACTTTTTCATTTATAGATAGAAATAACAAATAGGGTCTTCTATGTTCACTGGAGAAGGAAATAAGCTTATTAAGTTTAGGGGGAATCTGTGATGATTTTGCTGTTTTCTTTTGTCCAGATTCTAAGAGTTCCTAATGCAAATCTTCTTTGCCAAACTTACTTGATCTAAGAAACTCCCTTCAGGATCAGTTGTGTGCTTAGTTTCCTTCTTTGCATTTTGTTTCCCACCAAGAGACGTGATGAGCCCACAAATCTGATTTTTATTTAGAAAGGTGATTGAAACCATACAGAGTGAATCAGTGCTTCTCTCCATGTCTTGTCTTTCTTTTCTTTCCATCCAGGGGACGCACTTCAGCAGCACGGTAGGACCAGAATCTTATTACATTTTAAACAAATATGCACAAGAGAAAAGAATCCAATCTTAAAACTCCTGGAAACTTCAGACCAGTATATTGAATTTGATGAAATATTAGATTTTTATCTCAAGTATATACATGCACTGAACAATTTTGTGAAGCATGTAAATGGATTTGAATTATATAATTCAAGATATGTTTTCTGTTGGTTTTAACTTTCTTGAAAGTCTTTTGTAGTTAAGTTGTGACATAGAAGTATTTTATTTGGATGGATAGGTTTATGTACATGACTGGTAAATTAATTTCACTATTTTTAAGCTAACAGCTTTAAAAATTTAAGCAGTGCTTTTGAATTAATTCAGATTTATACTGAAACATTTCTTTTTCTTTTAAACATGTGTGTCCAATTTATTTCACTTAAGAGTATGGTCTCACAGTCCATCCATTTATCTATAAATGCCTGAAGCTCATCCTTCTTTATTCCAGAGTGGTACTCCATTGTATAAAAAAAACACATATTCTTTATCCACTAATCAGTTGATGGGCATTTGGGCTGTGAAACATTTTTAATGTAGTGCAGTTTAGTGGAAATTTCATATGAATTGTGTTGTAATTCTTGGTAGAGTCATTTTTCATGCAGTGTGGTGAAAGAGAGAGGGAGAGAATATTTGGATACATACTAAAGAGAAGGGAAAAGTCTTATATCCAGGTTACTTAGCTTATTTCTCATTCCAACTACAGTAAGTCAACTTTTGTAATGTTTACTTGAATTCGTAGCCAATCATAAGGTTTTGGAATCAGTTTTGGAGTTTGAAGAATAGCGATGAATGATACATACATGTACAGAAATGCTTGCCATTCATGCTTATAGTTGGATATGAGTGGAACTGAGATTATTATGTAATATGAAACAATTGCAATTTTTTTACCTTTTTGAATGGGCTAAAGTTCTTGAGCTTTCTTTCCTATAGCTATAATCTGTTTCAGTGTTTTGCCTTAGTACGTCCATAGCAGTGTGTAAGAGTTCAAAGTCACAGGATGGTCACTGAGGTTCAAGCTTTCTTAATTGACAGCTACACTTTGAATTATTCAGTGATGTTGAGAGTTTTAAGTTTACATCAGGGTTCCCTGTGGAAGAGAATAGACTTCTTTGTTCTAAGATTGTATTTGAACTAAGATGCATACGCAGTTTGGTTTCAAGTGAGAAGGAAATGACTTAAACATTTTTTATTTTTTACTGAGGGAAATCGTTTATGTTTAAAATGTCAAAGATTTCCCATCCCTTATTTTTTGATAAAGAACTTACATATCTACTCATTTGTTGTGTGCCCAGGCATACTTCATTTAAATGCTCTTTAACATTTCATAACTTATGGCTTAAAAAAATCTTTACAGTGGGGAAAATTATAAAGCCCTGCTTTGCATTTGGTTTGATAATAGTAATGAAATTGTCATTATTCATCAGTACATAGGAATATTAAATGGAAGAAAGGTCATAGAATAATTGATTTACCCTGGTTGAAGTGAAAAATGAAAGTGTCTCCATGGAGATATCTTAAAGTATAGACTAGATAACTATCTTAAGCATTTCCAAATTCATTAAGATCTTTTAAAATATTGTATTTTTGCCATAATGTTGTCATGTAAAACTTACTCCAGGGGCCGGGGATTTAGCTCAGTGGTTCCGCAGCCTGCCTTGCAAGCGCAAGGACCTGAGTTCAATCCCCGGTACCCCCCCCAAAAAAAACTTACTCCAGATCTGTTTTTGTTCTTTCTTTAACTTAAAGAAATATATTAAGTTCAGAATTAAAAGAACACCTTCAATTCTGATAAACCTGCAAATTACTTTTTAGTCAACTGACTATACCTTGCTAAGTAGTTCAAACAAGTTTTTCCTTGAGAGGTAAACGTTCATAAACTTTGAAGATAAAATGGTAATGCACTTTTATAAAATATCATTCAATTATAGGCTTAGTTGAAGAAAAGAAATTAAAAGAAAATATGAATTTAGAATTGTGTAATGACTGACTTTTAGTAGATCAGGTCACAGGTCATGATGTCATTTCAAAACTTGCTTTTAACCCTCAGCGATTCTCCATTGTCTTTCATTTAAACTCTAAAGTCTAACTGGTCAACAAGGCCCTCCTAAGTATCTGTAATGTCTTTTACACTTGAAATTTTGTTTTTCACTTTGTGTTTTGGTAACACCAAACTGCTCATTTTATGTTAGCTCTGTTGTTTCTCTTTTGAGGACTTCTGTTGGTGCTAGTCTCTCTATCTAGAATTTATATTCCTCTCCTCTTACCTAGTATTATCAGCTTTTTAAAGAAGTCTTCCCATAAACTACATGCCATATCCAGCAGGATCAGATGCCATTCCCACAAAACATTCTATGTGTGCATATCTATTTATGTAGCTAGTTGGATGTCAGTGTCTTCACCTATTATTTTGTTTGTCTCTATATATCTGACTCTTCTATAATATAAGTTCTTTGAGAGTAGATACTCTGTTATTCACATCTTTCTTATCCGTTGTGCCAAACACAAGGTCAGAAAATATTAGAATGATAGGTGTTTTGAGCTTGCAGTGAAGGAGAAAAAGTAGAACTTCAGGTCTCTACATTTCACTGGCACTGTCCTAGAGCTGATGAGGTAATTTTGCAGTTGACATAGGAAAGTTTTCCAACTGTTTTTTTTTTTTTTTGTACTGGGGATCAAACTCGAGACCTTGTGCTTGCAAGGCAGGCACTGGAACCATTGAGCTAAACCTCCAGCTGGTCTTTAACTCTCTAATTTTCTCACCTTTTAACTCCATCCTCATTGTGTTCTTCGCACTACAGTTATAGCTTCTTTTCTAAATCTAAAATCTGATTATGACATTCTTTCAGCTTCCTATTAGTACTCAACTCCTTTTGATAGTTCCATAGTGATCTTATGAGAAAGACACAACTCTTCAGCATGCCAAGAATAATAGCTTAGATTTCTAGTCTCAACTTTTGCTTTTCCCTTTATCATAATCTGTGCATCAGCTACGTCTTCCAGTGCCCAAGCCAATGCACATATTGTTCTCCCTGACCTAAATACTGTACTCTTTGCATCTCACTGTATCCCCACCCTAAACCACCTATGTGCTTTCTATTCACCCTCAGGCTTTCTCCTCAGAACCATTTCTGAGCACTGTCCTCTCCACAAGTCAAGTTTAAATCCCTCTCTTCTGGGCTCACACAGTAGGCCAGACTTAGCTGTTTAATTGTTCTTATCAGATTATCCTGACTGAACATGACTATTAACAGGTCTGTATCACACAATTTAATGTAGCTCTGTTAATAATAGTAGCAGCAGCAGCAGCAGTAGTAGTAACTATTAAGCACTTGTACAAGTAACCCAGATGTTATGCAAAATTAATTTTTACAAATGAGAAAAATAAGCCAGAGATGAAATGCCTTCTCAAGTCAGAGATCTAATAACTAGAATTCTAAGCAAGGTCTTTTTGACTAGGCCCATTCTTCTAACAACTACACTATGATGCCTCCTCAAAACTGTTTCTGTATTTTACCATTGTGTCCCGAGCACCTTAGCCCACCAGCTGGCATATAGTAGGCGATAATAAATGTCAATTGAACAAATGAAGGATTGCCAAAATCAATATGAGTAAATAAGAAAGACTTGAAGGTGGATTTTTGAGTATGAATTAATTTATCAGTATAGCAGTGTTTAATAAGTAAAATAGTAATGGGTTGAAGGCTTTTTAAAACTCAGAAGGGGTAAAAGAGACAATGGCAGCATGGGTCAAAAGAGTGACATTAAAGAGAAGAGTGACAATACATATGAAAAGATTCACATGGCAAAAGTGTTCATTTGGTGGCAACCACATTGTTGTCAGTTTATTAATTTTCATTGATTTAAAAACAGATGACTCCCTTACCTCCCCTCCACAATCCCCCCGCCCCTTTATGGGGGATTAAACCCAGAACCTTGTGTGTGCTAGGTTAGTAGTATTCAGCTATGTCCCTTCCCCACTGCCTCACTTGTAACACCTTGTGTATCTGATATTTATTGCTAAAGTAGCCAAATAAAAGGTTAAAGATTTAGCAATGAAACATCAAACCTCTTTCTACTGTGTGTCTCTTCATAGAACACTGCTAAATAGACTAGATTCCCTTTGCTAGTTCTTCCATATCTAACCCTGGTTATTCCAATTGGGTAGATAATATTCGTAGTCACTTTTTAGATGGCTTTGTAAATAAGAGGAGGAAAATGTATTAACTAAGCTAAGGAACAAGCTGTTCAAGGATAAATGATTCTATTTTTACAGAATAATCAATTTGCTTTTAGCTCAAATTTAATTAATAAACATTGTACATGCCAATTGTATTGTAAAATTGATTCATGCTATATCCTTTTTAAAAAGCAAACTCAGAATATGGCTCTGTTCATCCAGGAGCAATTCACACTCCTGAAGCTGAAGCTGAAGCTGATTCTCAGAGTTTGACTCAGATATATGCATTGCCTGAAATTCCTCGAGATCAAAATGCTGCAGAATCATGGGAAACCTTAGAAGCGGTATGTTAAAAATTATTTTCTTTTTGGTAACTGTGAGGTATAAAGATAAGTAACTTCCTTTCCCTCTCTTTTTAAGGACTTAATTGAACTTAACCAACTGGTCACTGATTTCTCTCTCCTAGTGAATGTAAGTATAAAACCGTTTTTGTTTTTTGGGCTGAGAATTTAGCTCAGGGGCTGGGGATTTAGCTCAGTGGTTCCGCCACCTGCCTCACAAGCGGAAGGACCTGAGAGTTCGATCCCCGGTACCAAAAAAAACCCCCCAAAACCAAAAAAACCCACTTTTTTTTACCCCAGAATTGTTAGATTACTGGAATAGCTTTGATCAATCACTACACTTTTGATTAGAATTTTAATAGAAGTTAAAACTTTTTAAGACTGGTTTTAAGCCATGAATAAAATTCTAACTTCTCAAATTCCAGATCAATTAAATAAACATATATCAGCATCTGTTATGTAAAAGGCAGTGGGTGAATGCTCAACATTAGAGTCTGACAAGGTTGAATATAGAAATAATGAAGTCTACTCTCTGCTTAAGGATTCTGCAGTAGGTGGATATAGACTTGGACTCCCCAAAATTGAGCTTTCAGCTATGATAACTAAATGCCAAAATAAGGTATGAAAAGAAATGTCATCTGCTCCAAGAAGATGTTAATTCCAAGGCAGGGAGGCACAGTTTGTAGGGTGGGAACATTAAGTATAGTTTAACAGAGGTTTTATGAGCCTTGGAAGTGAGTAAATTGTTCACAGAAAGGAAGAAAGGAGTGTATTTCGGGATAGCTGAACAAAGACATGACATAGAGGAATATGTGGCCTACAAGGTGTAAGTACTGTGTACAACCAAAGCACCAGCTACCATGAGCAAGCAAGGAGGCTAACGGCCAAGATTGTGGTGGTACTGAATGCCACACTAAAGAATCTGAGCTTTACTTTCTAGGCATTAAGGAGCTAATGTAGATTTTTGAGAAAGTTAAGGTTATGTGATCTACACTGTCCTTTAGAAAGACCATGTTAGTTGTGTAAATAATGAGGGGAGAGAGGAGGAGGTCATGTGTAGGATGACTGGTAAGCAATCAACTGCAGGAGTTTAACCTGGAGCAATGGCAACACCAGTATAAAGGTAAAGGACAGTTAGAAGGTATTTCTAGAGTAAATTTAGCAGAAATTAGAAGAAGATAGAGTAAAGGATAAGGAATATTACAGCTTTTTTCTCCATAATCAGGTCAGAGTGATACTGTTACCGTACATTAGGAGGCACACAGTAGTTTTAGTGAGAAAGATAGAGTAGATTGTCTATCAGTATTTTTTAAACTGTTCTTAGTTTTGCTTCCTAGGAATTATGGGAAGGAAGGAGATATGAAAGTGTACATAGATAGACTTTTAAGTTAGAAGTTTCTAGATCACACAGTCTAGAATTGGAATGGGAAATGATTCAAGAGGCTAACTAACCTAATCCCTGTGTTCTTGCCATGACTTTTTAAATAAATAGTTTTTTAGCTTTTTTTTTAACCAAGTATGGTACAGGGAATTTTGATACTAGAGCTATTTCATTTGAAGACTCTTAAGTCTTGGAAGTTCTCCTTATATAAAGTCTTCCCTACAATGACTTCTCTTTGGTACTTTTGCCCTCTAGAGCCACATATTCAGCAAGTTCATCTTTTTTCTGTATAGAAGGTTTTCAAAATTTTGAGACCAGTATCATTCTTCCTCACCCTACTTAACCACACCATATTTTCATTTCGTAAGAACACTTGATTCTTTTGTGTTCCTTCTAAAACAAGATTTCTAGACTTTTCAGTACTGGTTCCTTATTCTGCTTAAGTTTTGGTTTGTGGTTATTTTCTTGAAATGTAATGACTAAAATTTGATACAATGAATTGTCTGATTTCTGATGCCTCTACATCAGAAGAAGCAAAATATTGGAAGTCTTTGGATTAGCTTATCTAAACAACCTATTAATATATTTGCATATAGCAGGAAATGATACACTAAGAATCCCAAAATATGTGTTGCTTGAGTCAAGATTTATTCAGTTATTGTAACTAATCTCTGAATCTAATGCAGTTTGTAAAATCTATCTATACATGTATGATTACACAAATATATACATTTGCCAAAATTTACACTTAAAATATGTTTAATGTATGTGAATTATATCTCAGTAAAGTTGATTTAAGAAAAAAACTACACATGTACAAAGTTATTCTCACTCAAGACAAATACATTTCCCTTCCAGTGGGGTAGGCACGTGAAAGGAAAAGTAAAATCTGAGGCTTTTTAACAACTACATGTTCACTCATGTTATGTAAGCAGTCTTAACCCCATTCTAAGGAGTATTTATACAGGAAGACTCTGGCTATAGACCTAACTCTATACAAATGTCCTATTTATAACAATCACTGCAGGGACATGAGGCAGAATGCTATGGGCAAAAGCTCAAAGGCTAACACAATTATTATTCCCAGGGTGACAGAGTTTTCATGACCACATGGCCAAGGACACACAGAAGCTCCATTTAGGTAGTGAATGACCTGGGAATATAACCAGAGTGACCACATCTTCTTATTATCATCACATGGATATGATAGTATCTAGGCAAGTTCACCATGCACTGAAGGAACAATTTCTGTGTATGTAGCACTATACTAAGATCAATGAAGAATAGAGCATAGTATAAAAAGCACCTACAGAATAGTGGTAATGATTGCACAACATTAATGCCACTGAACTGTACACTTATAAATGGTTAAAGTGGTAAATTTATATTATATGTACTCTACTACAATAAAAAGGACTTAGGGGCCGGGGATTTAGCTCAGTGGTTTTGCCGCCTGCCTCACAAGCACAAGGTCCTGAGTTCCATCCCTGGTACCAAAAACAACAACAAAAAAAGGACTTAGAAAGCCATTGAGAGATCAAGGTATGGTTCAATAAATGTTAATAAATTAATATTTACCAGGCCCCCTACTCCATTTGTCTTTAGCCTTTATGACTCAGATTCCTTTTTTTTCTAACCAAGGAGAATTAAAGAATTCTGGTTCAACAGCTTGTCACCCTTGCTGCTGATCCTGTTTTGATTTCTACCTTTTGCCTTATTCTCTGTGGCTTTTGAAATCCAATTTTATTATGTATACATAAAAACTGGGCTGCAGTGGATTAGATCCTAGTCCTCCATGATTACCTATTTGACTTTCAGAATGTTTTTTTTTTACTTTCAGAATGTTATTTGATAACAGTGCGTTTTGTGTAAAACCAAGGAGAGGACTAAACAGGATACTGTTTTTGACTTGCCATCTTTTTCCCTTTCATTGACCGAAATTGCATGCCTGCATTTATCCTTCCCTAGGTTCCCTTTGGCTTACATAAAATTCTACTTTAGTCACCAGAATTACCTTTTTACATTGTAGTATTGGAGTTCTGTGAGTTCCTTTCCCACTGCTGAATCCCCTGATGTCAATATCCCACTTCTGTTTATTTGCTAATTTAGCCATAATCCTCTACTCTGCCTGTATATCATAGTGTTTGTAGGTTTGTTTCTGTGCTTTTCTGTATATATGATTGTATATGATTAAAACTGGAACTTAGGGAAGAATAAAGAAAAATACCTGTGGTTTTGGCATTATCTTCCTAAAGAATCCCATACCTTTTAAGCACACTAATAAAACTGCATAACTAACTCTCCATGGAAGACCATTATTATTGATGTAAATGGAATTAGGGTTGAATTTGTTGACTATCTTATTATTTGATTTAGAGCAAGTGCCCACAACAAGCATTCAAAGAAAAAAACAATTCCTCATTAGTTTTGAATTCATCTGTCCAAATTGCATTCTGCTTGGGCCGGGGATTTAGCTCAGTGGTTTCCACCGCCTGCTGCACAAGCGCAGGGACCTGAGTTTGATCCCCAGTACCAAAAAAACAAACAAACAAACCAAATTGCATTCTGCTTGATAAGTAGTAAGTTGATGAATGACGTTTTCTTCAGAATCATAGGTGCTCCTATAACTGCTTATCAAAATTCAGTTATTTGCAGGCCAGTAGAGGGTCTAATTCAGTGTTCCTTAAAAGAAAATCCATAGACATATTCTTTGAATTTTGAGAATTTTTCCCCCTTTAAAAAGGATCTATACATTAGTTTGAGGAAAAAAATGCAGTGTCTCTCATAAATGGCGTAGCTTATTGTTAAAGGGATGTTGAGAATACTTACAAGTACCAAAGAATAAAATGCCAGACAGGAGAAGGGAGAATGAAGATTGTCAAATGTGGGAGGCCTAGGTAGATGGAGAAAAACAAGCAAATCAGAAGCAAAAAGAAATTTGGTAGGTACTTCTGAGCCACCCTTGTTGCTTGGAGCTTTGCTTCATAGACTGGGGTAGGGTTATGTATGTATGCTTTGATCCAGTGTAAAGAGCCAAGGATATAGGGGAGAAGTGGTAGCCAGTTCCAACTCTGAAAGGAGTTTAATTTGGCCTTGTACTGACAAATGTCAAACCAGACTGACAACTCTGGTACCAGTTTGATGCCTACCTGTAGTCATTGTGGGTGTCATTGAAACTTACTCATGAAGCAGAATTTGAAGATATGGGCGGTTTGAGGACTCAAACAAAACAAAATGAGAAAGGTGGATCTGCACAATTAGGGGATGACTGTTAATCTCAGAAAAACGGCTTTCTGCCCTCTGCCTTACTCCCATACCCTGTATTTAAGCAAGCTTCCTGATGTCGATGAATGAGTACTTGAAGATGTTGGGTCCTCCTCAGGCTAAGATGGGCCTCATCAAATGCTAGTGATTGCAGTGATGGAAGGTACTATAGTTACAAAAATCAGTGGTGCCAGGATTGTTTTTTTTCTTGTAGTCTTTTCTCTGATTATTCCCAAGATTTTGTGAAAAAAAATTAAATTAAAATTATTTAAAATTTCACTCTAAAAGTCCTATGTTTTAATACTCAAACTCTTTAGGAATGAGCATTAAAAAATATTTCCTTGAGGCTCTGAGATCACACTTGGTGTTTGGAAATAGCAACAATCAGGCTTCTCCCTCTGGGCTAAAAGGAGGCACAGGGACAATTTTTCCTCTACCCTTCACTCATTGAGATACGAAGAGTGATGGTAAAATTTTACTCCTGTGATTTACCTGCTAACATAGACTCTTTCAGGCAAGACTGTAAAGTGTTGGGAGTGTCCCAAATAGAAACAATGGTAGGTTGTCAAAAATGCAGGCAAGGCCGGGGATTTAGCTCAGTGATTTTGCCACCTGCTGTGAAAGCACAAGGACCTGAGTTTGATCCCCGGTACCAAAAAAAAAAAAAAAAAAAAAATCCAGGCAAGTTAGACATTACTAGTTGCTGGCACTTTTACTTCTGTGGGTCAGAAAAGGAAAGCTGACTTAAATAATTTTTACTGAGAAAAATTAAAATTTAGTGAGTGAATGCTAGGAGAGATTTAATGTTTGAGTGCCATAGAATTTTCAAGCACCTTAGGAAAAAGCTTAATATATTTTTAGGTAGAAAGATGAGAGTTAACACATTCTTGAGAAGATTGGGATGTATTTTTTATTTCCCTCCTCATACTTTGCAGATATTTTATTCTCCTTTCAACTCTGTGAGGTAAAAATTTCATAGTCCTCATTTGACAGATGAGAGTAATGACATCTAGAGATCCAAGTACTTTGTCCCAGTGCACATCGTGGCAGTGCTCAGGTTTGAACACAGGAAATCTGACCAAAAGTTGACCCTCAGTCCTATTGTATATTACAGTGATTTTTAAAATGTGAGAATCAGCTGATTCACATTACTGGAGAACTTATTGGAAACACAAATCCTCAGCTCTACTGAATCAGAGATTTGAGGGTGGGCCCAGCATCTGTGCTTTAAGAAGCCCTTCAGGTGCTTCTGGTGCCCACTGAAGTCTGAGAACAGTTGTCAGACTTGGTTCTGACAGAGATGTTCAAAAAACCGAAAAAGGACGTTGTAAGGGTTTCTATCAAAGGTGTCAGGATAGTGGTGGAGAATCATGCACAAAGCGATACCACAAAAGGCCAGACAGTGAAAAGGCATGTATTAGGAAATGAAGGAATATTAATAATGCTAATAGGAAGAAAGCATGGGGGAAAAATTAGCTGTGTTGTTTAAGTTTCATGAAGTACTCAAATGTTGATTGGAGTTAGAGTGTTATTTATGTCTGCCTAAGTATAAATGAATAGGCCAGTTATATAAGGGCAATCAAATACTCTAAGATTCACGTTGAATTGTTTCACACTTTGTAGAAGGTGGCATTTATCTGGAGTGAAAGAGATTCTCCTTTTTTCTACAAATTAAGACAAAACATATACCAGTTGTGATAGTGGTTACTGGGTTTATACATTTGTCAGAATTCATCATACTACACCATTAAAATGAGTATATATTACTATATATCAATTCTAACTAAAGTGGATTTTAAAGTAGAACTATGTCCTTGTGGCAAAGAATGTGTTCTTGTCACTGGAGTGTTAGCAGTGGTTCAGTAACCACTCTCCAAAAACGTTGTAGTGGAGCTCCAGTGGTCAGGCATGAAAATCGAACTCCCTGCCTTAGCATTCTTCCCGCCCACACATCCATGACTTACAATTGCTTTAGTATCAGCACAGGTGTTGCTATTTTACGTATTGTGCTTTATTAATTTATTTGATCTGAAATATTTTAACTTGTCGTGACTTTAGAATATGTATAGTATATAGGTGTAAAACCTAGTACAGTAAATTCATTCACTGTTCCCTGCCGCATATCACAGGTGGAAAGACTTCATGGTCAATCAAACCATAGTATAATCTTATTCTTAAAACATAAAAATTTATGCTTATTGGATCAAGGACATGTTACTTCTAAGGTAAATATGGCTGCTTTAAACAGAATCTTATTAGAAAGTAAGTTAGGGAGGTTTTGCGGGGTTGATAATTGTTTTTGTTTTTTTTCCATCAAACCCAACATGACATGTAAATACTTATTTGGATTTTTTCCTCTTGTAAAGTAGATTCGTTTGGAGAATAATATGTTTGTATGTTTGAATGAATTTCAGTGTGAGATGATTTTTACTGTAAAGGTTCCACCCTTTTATTACCTAATAATTAAGTCCTATCTTTTTTTATGAAAGTGAATTTGTACTTTCGACGTGGTTTATCAGATGCTATTAATGAACTGCTATTAAGACTGCAAGGCTGCAGTACCCTGGGCCCTGATTACAGGAATTAAAATAGTGTGTGTTGGCTTCCTGCTGCTCCCCGGCAGGAACGCTCACTCATAATTCCTTTGCATCTAGTCTCAGCAGGAAAAGATTGACAGCATTGCAGACCATGTCAACACTGCCGCTGTGAATGTTGAAGAGGGAACCAAAAACTTGGGGAAGGTAAGATTCTTCTCCTGCTGACAAATCGATGGTACTCAGGCTCCCAGGAATCTCTAGTATTAACCCAATTGATCTGCTCTCTTCAGTGTTGAGGGAACTGGCAATTAAGGAAATCAGGAAGAAATGACACATGGTAGTGCAAGAAATCGATGGTTGTAATATTGTACTCTAAGATTCATTTTATCAGGAGAAAAAAAATTTTTTTCAAAGAGAGAATAAACTGTAGGCTTACTATAAGGCATTTCATATAACAAGAGAATATCTGCAGAGATCCAAAGAGAGGGATGAAAGAGGGGTGCAAGTATCCAGTCAGGGCAAAAGTATAAAAATGTGACAGTCTGTTTGGAGTGGAACCATCTATTTACCATCCAGTGGATTTTATGCCCAAATACATACCATGGAATAATCACTGCAGCTTTTACGCTTTGGTGGGAATCAGAATCTGTGGCGGCTGAAACTATTTATATAAGCCAACTAGATAGTGAGTGGATGAGTGGATTGATTGTTTGGCAAGTAAAATCAATTTGTAGCCATCCACTCTTTGTAGTTTATTTCTCCTAAGTTCTGAGATCTGGACCAATGGTGGTACCTGTGGAATACTCCCCCCACCCCCAATCTCTAAGGTTAATTATGTACCAAGAGTTAAAGAGGCATTGCCAGGAATAATGAGAGGAAAATGCACATCACCACAGGCAGATATTCTCGACTCAATTTCTAAATTGAATTTTTTTTTTTTTCCTACAGGCTGCAAAATACAAGCTGGCAGCTCTGCCTGTGGCAGGTGCACTCATCGGAGGAGTGGTAGGGGGTCCGATTGGCCTCCTTGCAGGCTTCAAAGTGGCAGGAATTGCAGCTGCACTTGGTGGTGGGGTGTTAGGCTTCACAGGTGGAAAATTGATACAAAGAAGGAAACAGAAAATGATGGAGAAGCTCACTTCCAGCTGTCCAGATCTTCACAGCCAAACTGACAAAAAATGCAGCTAAAAACCAGACTTTGGTATTATTGGCACCAACATATTGATCCTAATAAGCACCTTGCTGCTTTTGGACACTCAGTCAGCTTTTGGAACACTGCAAATCAGGACAGTGGCTCTGGATGCCCAAATGTGATTGAACCGTGATAACAGATGTATTTTTTTTGCTGGGTGTTGGAGACTTTAGGGATCGAGGAGCTTAGACTGTGTAGTGTTTAGTCAGGTCAAATTTAAAGACTGCCAAGGAGCAAATTTTCTGCCTGCAAATGTGAAAAATGAACTTAAAACTGGGTGAAGGACTTATGATATGTCCTTGAATTGGAGACCTTAGGACTCAGTGTATTTGTAGATTACTCAGGAGTGTTGGAGAAGAACAGGAGTTCAGAAGCCTTTCTGTCAGAGAGGGAATTCAAGACTAAACTAGGGGCACAGATGAACTGCAAGATGGAATCTATTTGGTGAACCTGATTGTAGTTTGAACCAACTTACATTATTATTAGGTGAAGGAAAGTAATAGTATAAGAAAATGAAAGGGGGCCTAACGTCTCTTTCATATGTCTTTGTGACACTGGCTACTTTTCAGAACTCTTCCTCTGCCTCTCTTTAAATGAAAAACACTAAATACCAAGTGGTAGGGAACATATTAAGCCAGTCACCAAGCTCACTGTGTCAGCCTGTCTCCCACCACCTCAACCATCTAGTGCCCTTTGTTTTCCCTCCCTGGTAACTTTGAAAAGCTTTTCAGTTTGTGGGGTGAATTATACTCATATGTAATGAGCACTTTTCTCATCATTTGCCTTTTTAGTATTATTTGCCATCTCTATTTACCCCTTCCTGTAACCTTTAAGTTTAAAAAGAAGGAAACAAAAGGAAAACTTCCAAATATTTCCAGCATTGTTAGAGTTTGGGCTAACAATGAGGAAGGTCGAAAATCATGAGACCATATCCTGGTGTACTTTCTAGTTTTGAGGGGTTGATGTATCCACTACACAAGGGGCCTCTGATCCTGTATCATTTTCAACTGGCCTTTGGGGAAGCAAAGAACTAGCTTTCTACCTCAACCACCATTACTACTATCCCTTCCCCAGGCTTCTTTATCTCGTATACTTTCTACATTTGCTGTTTCTTCCCAAGAATGCCTTTTACGCTTAATTTTTCTCACATTCTTTGGAGTGACAAAGCCCGGTGCCAAGACTCAGTCCCAATAAAGGATTTGTGGTGCTAATACCAACCCTTGACACTGACATCAAGCATGGTACAGCCCAACCCCATGTCTGTCTTCAAACAGAAAGATTTCACACTTAGAAAAAAAAAACTAAGATTACAAGCAGTCTCACTCTGTACCCCTAACTCATTTGAAATAGGAAGGAAACACCTTTTTGCCTTATTCTTTACTTTTTTCAGAGGACAAGAATGGGCATCTGCCCCTCAAAAGGTATGAGCAGTTGCCCAGGCTGAGCTTACGAGGAGATCGAGTGGTTTATCACTTAGCTTCTCCCTTACTGAGGCTGCTTTAGATAACTGTTTGCTACCTTTCACTTCTGTCTAAAGATATCTCTTTCATATTTTTGCATCTCATCAATGAATTCTAAATGTGACAAAGCACCATTTCTTATTGTCATTAAATAACTGGCAAATAGCAAACCTGCTTACTTATATCTTTAATACAAAAGACAAACTGAGTAAGGGTCAGATTCTGATCCAGTATCTGATACTGGACAGCTGTAAAGTTGGGATAATTACTTTTTTTTTTTTTCCATTCTGGGAATTGGACTCTGGGCCTGCACACTGAGCTACATCCCCAGTCATTTTTTTTTAATTTTTGAGACAGGGTCTTGCTAAGTCATTAAGTTGTCCAGGCTCAAACTCGTAATTTTTCTGTCTTGGTTTCCCAGAGTGCTGGGATTACAGGTATGGCGAGCATGCCCAGCTTGCTACCCACTTTTTCCTAAACTTTGGTCTTTGCTGTCCCTTCAACCAGCTGTTCAAACCTGAGTGAGGATCAGAACTCACCCAGATGTTTATTTAAAACAAGATTCTTGTACCTCAGTTGCAGGGATGATTCTGATATAGCTAGTCCAACCTAGTTGGCTGAAATTATAAATTTAAGATACAGTTACCTCAAGATGCAGTTGTGTCACTTAATTTTGTAGTTTCCAGTATTCTGCCTTGCCTTGTTGCTGCATAATACTCCACTCTGCCAACCCCACATTGGCCACACTTTGAACATAACATCTTAGAAACACTAGGGATTCATAAGGACCTGAAGGAGAGAGGAGGCCTACCCCTATATTTGAAGCACACATTCTGTTCTAGGATTTCTCATTTTCACTGAGCCATGTGGGACCCAGTTGTATGTACTCATTCTTCAACTTTTACTGCTCATCAGGATTGGAGTATTACACTAGCAGTCTTCATCCTGCAGCAATCTACAGCCCTTTAAAAATGTATTATAAAGTTACTTAGAAGTAGTATCTCATTTCCCCAATATCCAGCTTTTTGTAGAAATTGCTAAAGTGTTTAATCAGCTATAAAGGAAATATCTATAAACTGTAAAGTGCTTATACATATAAATGGATATGACACAGAAACCAATCGGAAAGCTGAATTTAATGCCCTACAGTGTCAGATTAAATTTACCTTCTTTATGATTACTGTCTTATTTTTTATGGCAGTAAGTTAGAAAGCAACGTTTTGATTAAGGTTTGAGTATTTGTAGGAGCTTATTTGGATAAAGGCAGCACTTCTAAGGACTTTTTTGATATCATGATCTGAAATTTTCTCTGAAGAGCAGAGATTTTGAGTTTTTGGTGTAACCCATAGTGAAAAGTGCATTTATATAAAAACAGCATATGAATAATGAAACAGTATTTATACCATCTTGTGCAGTGCATTTTCATGCTTTTACAGTTTATAAAATATGCCAGTTGTAACACATTATATTGATTTGTCTATACATAGATTGCAGCCCTTAGTCTGAAGAAAACCCCCTTATAGCAGAACTGATATTTAGTGAATACACTCTTTGCCAGTTAGGGCAACTGAGCCTTAGAGTAATTAAATGATGTGCAGAGGGTTATTCAGTTGCAAAGGGTTCTGGAGAAGCCAGGGTGAAACTGGTTTGTTGAACTGTAAAAACTATTCTGTTTCTGCAATGCTATACTGCCTCTCTCTGCTGAACCGAGGTGAGTCATGTGTTCTGCCTCCCCCAGACCCTGTATACATACTCTGTAAGGCCAGCTTTGTACATTTTGGTTTCTGCTTCTTGATCTGATTCCTCCTCAGCTGTCTGGAAGCCTCATACTTTTTAATGATGGCTTTTACAGAAGTGCATAGTGTTGAATTTGATCCTTATACTATAAAATTAAGGTATTTTCCATCCCACCCAACCTACAAATTATTTTATTCATAGTTTATAGTCATTGTTTAAACAGTGCTTTTCATACTTTTTAATGAACTTTTTAAAGCAAATCTTAGCATAACTCACAGGGGATGGTACTCGGGAACTTGTACTTTCGAGGCAGGTGTGGTGCCACTGAGCTAAATCTCCGGCCCTAAAACGTTACTCTTTTGGGAAACCACGTAGAAACTGTAGTGATGCTAGTATTACTTAAGATGTTTGAAACTTTTCTTTTGTAATTGCCTCCAAAGACATTTGCAAACCACATAAAAGCCATCTCCGTTTTAATTAGACCATACTTCCCTTGTCCTTGTGACTGCACCTCTCTTCCTCTCTGTTTTGCCTATCTTCTGATGGCTTAGCTCTCCTTCCCTAATACACAGGAGCCAGGGACCTAAGGATGCCCAGGAAGTGGTATGCCACTGCTGCCTAGAAGTAGCCAGAGTTCCTGGAGCAAGGATGACATTGAGGTTACACTGAAACAGGCTGTCAAGGGAGAATCCTTAAGTCCAAAAACCTGCCTGCCCACCTGTATGTGCTGTAAGTTGTTTATACAGGGGTAGCAACTAAATACTGGTAATATTGTTCACAGGCAGTTGAAGAAACCTGTAATATAAATATACAGCATACAGTATTTTCTTCCTGTGAAAGTATAGAAACCAAACCATGCTTTGTTCACTTTAAAAATGCAAGGTATTTCATTGCTGCCACAGGGAATCTTTGGGAGGATGGATGAAAAAAAAGCCTGGGGAAAAGGTTCTCCTGTGACATGGACATTGTCATCATAAACCCAAATGTGGCTGTGGCTCTTGGGTGCTTATGAATGCTAGATGATGTTTTCAGTAGTCAGGGCCAAGGATTTAGCTCAGTGGTATCGCGCCTGCCTTGCAAGCACAAGGTCCTGAGTTTGATCCCTGGTACCAAAAAATAAAAAAGTACAGAATGTTTTCAGTAGTCAGATGGACACTGCCCCTTTGGCCTAGGTAAATATACAACATTCAGTTTCCGTTTGTTTTTTATGAACATGGTTTCTAGCAGGTAGTTCTCACTATTATTAATTTTACACTCTTTCACAGAGAAATTTCTTGGTTATTAAAAACTATGGTAAAGTATCTTTGGCTACCATCAAATAAATTAGTTTATTATGGCAAACAATGTGCAATATTAACAAGACAATGTGCAATATTAACAAGACAAATTGAAATAACATAAAAGCTTTCAAAAGCAAGTAGTTTGTTCCAAATCACAAGTCTAGTTTGCACAAGAGCTAGAATTATAGCCATGGGATGGTCTTGGAGAAAAAAATCCAAGTAATCTGTGTTTTTGTTATGGCATATCACGCAGCCTGGTGAGGCTTTTGGTGTTTTCAGACCAGCTTCAACATTCAAACAGGAAAGAAATCTTTTCCCTAGAGGAAATCACATTCAATTTTTTAACCTTCAAAACAATGCTAGTCCTGTCACCTATGCATCTGATAGCCAAGCCTGAGGGTTCTTCTTCAACAGTATAAATACTGTAGCCTTAAATGGACCATTGTCCAGCTCCTATGAATAACTTCACTAGTAACAAAGACATTCAGTAGTCTACTTTTTTTCATATATTTGCAAGTATTTGAGATTTTCTTACTTTAAGATTAATGACTGAGATGTTCACTTGGGTTTCATGAATCAAACTCCCTAAAAATATGTTCCGTTTTATTGTTAAAACCTTTGGTGTTGCCAAAGATCAACACAAGAAAAGGCCTAATGGTGAGCATTCATTTGTCAGTTATGTTGCTCAGTGGTGCTTGAATAAGGAAACATGCAATAAAATTAATTCAACAAACATTTAACTGAATTTCTGTTGTGTGTTGTATGCTAGCCCATCATAGACCAGTACAACGAATCTATCCTAGTAAGTCATTCAGTTACCTAAAGCAAGAGAATCACAGCAAAATACAGTAAATACACTAAAGGAGGAATGAACAAAGTAATACAAGGTCATAAAGAATGGAGGGACTGCCTGCTTAGAAAAGGGGGAAGCTCTGTGGGACATATGGTTTTGAGTAGTACCTTAAGAATAATATGCCTGGTTGAAGAAGAGTTATGGGCTTCAGGTGGTAGAGGAACTGCATATCCAGAACTGCATAGTGAAAACCAAGGAATTAAAAGTAGCTGGAGATGAAGCTGGTTAGAAGGAGATACATAGAGACTAGGGTGTTTATTTAAAATTTAGTAATTCTTAGTATATACGAATTAATGCTTTGCTTTGTGTCATGTAAGACTATTATCAATCTTCATTTGCCTATGTTGCCTAGGAGGTGAACCTCACGTATACTAGGGTTTTTGGTATATTTGCCCTCCTTTTCCACCTGTAGAAAATGATTCACATTTTCTTTCTTCTCTGTAAGCTCCCATTAAATATTGAACACCCATTTTCTGCTAGTCATTCTATAAATATTTATTAGAAACCTGCTGAGAAAATAGTTATGAAATTCATCTTTTAGTGTCCAAGGCCTTCACGGTACAGTTTTCCATCTCTACATGAATGTTTCTTGACCATTGCAATTCAGTGTCTCCCATTTCACCCATGGTTAATTGTGCAGGGGTAAAATTCTTGCTGTGGTGGTGGGATAGTCTCCAACTAGATTGTAAACTTTTTAGACCAGGGATCATATCATCTGCTTCTTGCAGTATTTCTTGGCATGAAATACAGTTGTTATAGATAGCTAAGTGAGGTAGAAATATTATAGGCAGTCAAGGCTAGGTCCTTGAGGGAGTTAGTGCAGATGAGAATGCATTATAACTGTAGCTGCAGGTACATCTGTCGAAAGCCAGGCCTCAAGATAAGGAGAATGACCAGGCCTACATTGTCTCCCCAAAGGATAAGCAATACATTAAAGGTTATACCATAAGTGGTGTCACCTGATCCAATAAAGTCTAGATAGCCATCAGTCACCCACGTAGGTGACCAGGACCTCCTGGTCGATCTCTTCCTAACAAGGTCCTTGTTCTTTCCATGTACACCTGCTACATGACCTGTTTCCCCATTGGATCAATATTACTTAAGCAACTATACTTGTAATTTTATTGGTTGATCATAGTTTTGACCCATGTTATCTCATGATTTTGCTCTATAAAACTTCGAGAAATGGACTCATTGGCAACCTACTTTTAGGTCCCCTCCTGTCTCTCAGGAGCTATCTCTCTCAATATTTTCCTATTCTTAACCTCCATAGTTGCTTAGAATTCACTCAATTTTGGGGAACGTGAAGTTGGCATATCTGGCATCTAGCAGTTGAGAGTTAAATTTATTTCCCTTGTATCATTTGGGGGCCTGCACTGAGATAATTGGAAGGAGGTAGGAGTTTGCTTTTGTTTTGTGGATTCTAGATTGTGACTTGTTCGGGTAATCAGAGATTGTTGTCCTTGTTTGCCAATTGTTTACACCTTGAATTTTTATGCCTTGTCTTTTTTTTATGCCATTGTTTTTTGTTGAAATGATGATAAATTTAAGTTGAGAACATGGGAAGATTATGATGTTTCTTTGATAGAACATTTTGCTTTTGCAAGGAAGGTCTTGTATTGGTGCTTTGTATATGCTGCATTTAGACTTACTAGTTATTGAATTTACTGATGCTCTTTGTTTGACCTGTTCGACTTGTTTTGACTGTTGTGGTTCATTGTCTTATCTTAGACAGCAGTACTAAGGAAAAGTAATGCTAGAGTGTCCCCTAGTGGACTTTGATACTAACCAAAATGTGAATTTGTGACATTCTGTAAAATGGGTCTTTTTATGAAATCTAATTTATATTTAGGAAATATACATGCCTATTAATAAATCACAGGTCTCCAACTGCAAGTTAAAAGGCAATAGGCCAGCAATCCTCCAAGACCTTAAGACTTGGAGGATAAGTTTCACTGGAACAGTCTGGCCTCGACCCTTCTCTACAGTCTAGAGGGAATGTCGAGCCTGTTCTGCCTCAGTTTCTTTTCAGGTCTGATCTTCTGCTGGTGAGGAGACAATCTTACTTAACTCTTGAGATTCCCCTTTCCAGACTGAGGGTGAGGAGTCATGGCAAACTGTCTCAACAACTCACTGTGAACATGAGAAGAAAAGACTTCCTTTTTCTGATCTTTCCCTGCCACTATGTACTTTCCTTTTTTGGAGGCATGTTTCTGCTCAACGTTAGAGAAGGAGGAACCTTGATCTGTCTCAACCTTCCTCTCCTATCCAACAACTAAGAATTTTTAAATGGAGCCCATAGAAAATGCTAACACTGAAGACAGGGTAGTCATCTTAGATAAGGAGCACATACTCCATCTCTGGGTCAGATGAGACATCAGAATTTTGCCCATATAGGCAAACACACATGTTAGTGATGTTCCTACTTAGTGTTCTGGGCACAGTCTTTTGGGTACAGGAAACTGAACCTGAGGCCCTGTAGAAAGAACCAACTTCTGGGTAAGACCAAAAGGAGCTATTTCCTTTGACTCTCTTTTGATGCTTGCTAGAAGTCCAATGCTCTATCCATTGCGCCACAGAGCCAGCCGGTAAGAAGGAGCTATTTCCTAAAAAGCAGTTTTTATAGGACCAAAACACATTCCGTTAAAGGGAGAATCCCCAACCTCCTGGCCCTCTCTCCCTCTTAGGCCTTTTTCTCATTATTTATGTGTGTAAGGGAGGGAAGTACTTTTGCTAATGTGTATATTCTGGTTGCTGAACAACGGATACAGATTTCAACCTGTGAGTTTCATAAATGTGTTGCAGATACAGAGACACAGAAATTTTAGGGTGTATTTTGAGTAAAACTTAGGCTTATTTTGCTGCTAAGGAAGATTGCCTAAGTGATTAGATAGACAGCACAAATGTCTTGGGGACCTCTTTGCCCTAGGGCCCAGGGCAGTTTTCTGAGCCATTACTTGCCTCTATCTCTGGAAGTGATCTCTTGTAGGATGAGAAGTGCTCCAACCACTTCCAAATTGCCCTGTGATTTTATTCCCCCTTCACTTTCAAAGAATTGGAAAGCAGTTGTCCAGGTCTCTTGATTATTGGTTTAATTTTACTAGCAATGCTTCCTTCTTTAAACATGACTTTTATAGCTGGAATCAATTGTAGCTTGTGCTTTTGGAAGCACAGGCTGGAGATAGGAGTGTGAGTTTCCAGAGAAGGTAGGGCCATCCATTAGTAAGGTTGGCTGGTCTAACCTGACCTATCTTCTAGTCACTCTGCAGATAGCAGTTACCTGCTCTGGAGCAGGACACCTGAATGGATACCGGGAGAGGATACAGAGACCAAGAAGGGATGCCTATTTTACCCTTGTCTTTTGCCAGATGGGAAACTCAATGTCGAATTCTCTTACTCCTTTGGAATATATTCTTAAGCACTGGAAATTGTTCCATCCCCACATATTGAGAAAGAGCTATTTAATATTTTTCTGCACCTGCACATGGCCTGCCTACTCCCTAGAGGCAAAATGAAATGTAGAGAGAAGTATCGATTATGATACTATTTCACAACTATAATTGTACTCTAAGAGAGAGGGAAAATGGTGAGAATTACCTTATGTTTAGACTTTCTTTGCATTAAGAGATAATCCTCGGGTTCAAAATTTTAATGTAAGCCACAGGAAAGCCAGACACCTCTGGACCTTAAGGCACAATTGGATGTATCTACTATTACTGAACCTGAGGTTCCCCCTCCCTTGCCCTTCAGATCCGAGGGATGAAGTTTCCAAGGCAAACTTAATCAAAGTCTCATCCACTATTGCTGAGCCTGAGCTTCCCCTCTCTTACCCTCTAGATTCCTAAGGGCGAGGCTTCCAAGCCATCCTTATTGAAACCTCTACTGGACTAAATCCATCCGTCTTGATTTTCTTCACGCTCCTCAAGGACAACATCCCTGGGCCAGGGATTTAGCTCAGTGGCACCCTCCCTCGCAAGCACAAGGTCCTGAATTCAATCCCCGGTACCGCAAAAAAAAAGAGACAACATCCCTTACAGGAGGTGGATGGAGAATTTGGCCCTACCCATGTCCATATGTCCTTTTCTCTCAGTGCCGTCAAATAGATCAAACAAGATCTGGGAGGGCTGGGGATTTTGCGCAGTGGCATTGCACCTGCCTTGCAAGTGCAAGTTCCTGAGTTTGATCCCTGGTACCGCAAAAAAAAAAAAAAAAGATCTGGGAAAGTTTTCAGATGACCCTGATAAGTACATTACAAGCTGCTATTGTATTTGGAGATGAATATTATATTGCTGATTTTAGAAGGCCAGAAGACAGGCAGCCAGAGGAACAGCTGGTTCCTACTGGACCCCAAGTAGTCCTTACACAAGATCCCTGCTGGCCTACCAACAAGATGGGAGACTGGAAAAGGAGACATCTTCAGACATGAATTCTTGGAAGTCTAAGAAGGATGAGAACTAAGCCCTTCAATTATTTAAAATTGTCAACTATTCATCAGGCTAAAGATGAGAACCCCTCTGCCTTCTTAGATCATTTACAAGAGGCACTGATGAAATATACATCCCTGGCTCCTGATTCAGTAGGACAGATTGTTCTTAAAGATAAGTTTATTACTCAGTGTTAGATATTAGGAAAAGCTACAAAAGATGGCTTTTGCTCCAGGTAGCTCACTTGATACTTTAGTGAGAATTGCCTCTTCTGAGAAAACAAAGAGACCAAGAGAAAGTGGCTGCCTTGGTTGCAACCTTAAAAGGAACAGATTCTCTTAAGTCTGATTCCTGGGGCTCCAAGAAGAGCTCAATGACTAAACTCATCTGCTATCACTGTGGAAAGCCAAGCCCCATTAGGAGGGTCTGTGATAAAAACTGTTACAAGAGGCCTCCTGAGCCATGTCCTGATTGCAAAGGTGACCAATGGAAGTTGGACTGGCCCGAGATGGAGGTCCCAGGGATCAGACCCATGTTGCCAGCTGGTGACTGCATCGGACACTTGAAAGTTCCTAACTTGCCCCTGGGACTAGTTCCCAGCTAGCAGAAATCATAGTTCTGACAAGGGCTTTACAACTCAATGAAGGATAGAAAGTCAATATTTATACTGACAAAGTATGCTTTTTCTAGTGCTGCATGCTCATGCAGCCATATGAAAGGAAAGGAATTACCTAACAGCCAATGGCTCTCCCATAAAGTATCATAAGGAGATAGATGAACTTTTTTTTTCTTTCTTTTTTTGGTACCGGGGGTCAAACTCAGGTCCTTGCGCTTGTGAGGCAGGCGGCAGAACCACTGAGCTAAATCCCTGGCCCTAGATGAACTTTTATTATCTCAAAAATGGCAGTAATTCACTGGAGAGGGCACCAAAAGGGAGTTGAAGTATTTCAAGGTAATGAACTGGCTGATGCAGCTGCAAAAGAAGCTGCTTGAAGGCCCTCCCTTCAGGGCCCCCTAATCTGGGAAGGGTCCCTTGATCATACTCAACCCAAATATAAACTCTACCCTTAATACTAATCAAAAATTTTCTAAGAATGTCACTAAAGCCTCTCTTCAGACTCTATTAGAACCAACCCCTATTAAGCAAGAGTAAGGGTCCTGAGCGCCAACAATCACACATATCAAGATGGCTACTTTCAGATATGGATGATTATGTGTGGTTAACTCCCACTATAGGACACCTTAGTAAATAGGCCCCCTTATGTTGGCCTAAAGCCAATTAAGACATAGGATTGAAGGTGACTGCATTCACCTAAACATGTCTCTGCAAAGGACAAAATCACCAGATAACTGAAATTTTCAGATCAGCTAGCAGTCCATTTCAGTTACGGTGCTAATTTCTTTTCTTTTTTTTTAGTGGTTCATTTACTTATTATTTAATTTGGCTTTTTTTTAAATCAAGAGATTTCACAAGTACTTTCTTTCTGGGAGGACAAGATTGGAGTTCCTGCTTTCCTTATGACATTCATTTATGTAGGCCTAAGCAAAAGAGACACATGTACTTCCAATTCTGAATTACCTAAAAATAACAAAAGGCTGTGGGACCATAGTGGGTGACAATTAGGCACTGAAGCATGAATAAGAGGAATTTGCTGAGCACGGTGGAGGGGAAAGGAAACATTTTAGAGAAATAATCTGTAAATTGTACTCTTTATCTTCTAGACTCCAAACCCTATTGTCTCAGGGCAGGTCAGCCTTTCTCCAATGGGTTCTTGGACAGGAACTTCTATGTTTCAATGGAAGAGTGGGTTTGAATTACCAGCACACAGATTCATGGTTACCCATTCTAAGTAACACAAAATGACATGAAAAATAAACCTGGGATAGGTAGCAACTCTAGTCATCTAGATTCTGAGTAAAATGACACTATTTATGACAGTGAATTAGTAAAAAGTCTCAAATATAGAAATATTTTATAAATATAGTTTTATTACTTGGAAATACATACAAAAATTGAAACACAGCTAAAAAACAGTTACTAAGCAGAGGTCCTATTCAACCTGTTTTAATGAACACATAAATCAGTTATATCAGCATTAAACAACGTAAGTCCTGACACAACTTATTGTCTTCAGCGTCTTTAAATACTGTTTATAAAAACTGGTAATTACTTTGTTCCTTACACCTATTTAACTCTTTCCCCTCAATACAGACTACTAATATTTCAGTTTGGTTCATGAGGTTTTATTTTAGAAAAATAGCAAAAGCTATTATTTTGAAAACTGGATTACTTATTTGGCTACTTCCAGTCTCCTGTCACCTTATATTCTTCATGGTTTCTCAAAAATTCCCAGAAGTTGTTAACAAAAAGCATTTACAACTGCTAATAGCTCTATAGGATACAGAAATGTAGGTCTGAAGATAATGTAGCGATTTTGTTCCCTTCTCACTCTTCAATTTCATTTAATTTTTGCCCCACCATACTGCATCTCTTTGTTAAAGAAAAAGTAGAAAATGAATATTCAGTCTTTTCTGATTGTCAATCCATTATACTACTTTATCCAAATTCTTTTTGTCTTGACACAGGTTTTTTTAAAAAAAAAGCTTTCTTGGCAACTTTAGAATTTTCTACAAATTTAAGCTCATTCTCAGCTTTACTATTTCAAATACTTTTATATTTTATGATATTCTTTGTAGCTTTCATCATGCCAGTTTCCCATTCTTTCACATAGACAATCTGACAATTTGACGATCTGACTTCATCAGAGTTCTCTGAGGCATTCTAGATGCCTGTTTTCTGTCTTTCTGGGTTTATTTGACTTTTTGAAACTTTTTAGAATGTTATCTAAAGAAAGTTTTCACTTTTTTAAATGGTCCCATTCTCATGACTGGAACAATCTTTGAAAACCTGGAAAAGGGAGCTGGCAGAGAAGCAGAAAGGCTGGCTTCTAGCTCGGGTTTTGCTACTCAATTATGTTTTCCTGTCTAGTCTTGCATCCTCTTTTGGCACAGCGGAGGAGCCTGAGGCCCAGGAAAGACTGGGTAAACTGAAGCAACTTCTACTGGAATACTCTCAGGGAAGTCTTAAATTGAGACCTACTTCCACAGTATTTTTTAAAACCTAAATATGAACATACTTCCCTGCTGAAGATCTGTTAATGGGGTTCTACTACCTACAATATACAGTATAAACCCCTTAGTTTGGCAAACAAGGCCTTGTGTGACCAGCTCTATTTTTTTTCTCTAACCTCTTTTCTCATTTCCTCCCAATCTTCAATGTACTAATCCTCCTTTAAGAATTTTTCTTTAATGCACTTAGCTGTTTTATACCTTTGCTCAGATTATTCTATACAGCCAGATCCCTTGAAGAACACTGATTCATTTTCTTAAAACTCAGCATAAAAATAAACTCAATGAAATCTTTGGAATTCACTGCTTTTTTTATGCCAGCCACATTAACCTCTGTTTTCTTCTATCATACATCTGTAACTCCTATTAGTTATTGTTCACATATCCATCTACCTGACAAGGCTGTAAGCAACTCTCAGGCGGAAATTCTACATTATTCATCTTTGTATACTTCATCATATATAACACCAAAAAATATTCCTTGAATAAACGTCTACTAAAATCTGCTTCCCCATGACTTCCTCCAATCATAGTTCACTCTGGGATCCACAAAGACACTGCCAGTCCTTCACATGTCTAGACTACAGTCAGACCCATGTGTTTTCTAAACAAAACAGCCTTAGCATTTCATTTTAAAACCTTTTATCCTAAGCTGTCATTTCATGGAATGCACTTGAGCTTGTTAATGACTTTTTATAAAACCGGGCATCAAATCCTGATGAATGCCTAGCACCTTCAGGGATACAAAAAGGTCACTTTGCTTCTCATTCATTCAATAAACATTTGATGATGACTACTATGTGTCCAGAAACACTAGGTACAAATTCAGATATAAAATTCAGTATCCTGCCCTCAACGGCTTCAAAGTCTAGAGAAGACAATGAAAATGGCAGGGCTGAAGCCTAAATCCCACTAAATAATGCACCCTCAAAATCCACCCACTTTTTACACGATCACTTTATCATCTTAGATCATACTGAACATGTATTTCTTGAGGCCTTTTTCATAGTAACTACTCTTAATCCAGCTCTCTGAAACCTAATACTTGAGCAGTATCTTTACTTTTTTTCAAACCCAATTACAGGATTACAAATGTATTCCAGTCCTAGATATATCATGTACAGGTACAAATTCCCAGTGATGAATGTGATCATGATGTATACCTAAAATGTACCAATAAACTTAATGGAATTTTAAAAAATGTATTCCAGTTAATTGCATGTGCTGCATTTGGTCTGGGATGTTAGCTTTTTGAATACTTGTTTTCACTGTAACCCTCTCAGATTTGGTCCATTCTCCAACTTGAAGATCACAACTCTGACTTCATTCAAGTTATTAAATAAAAGCAATGAAGAGAATAGAACTAAGGTCCAACTTCTAGAAAGCTCTGTCCTGTTTTTATAGCCATAATCTGATATAATACTCTAAACATGCCCCTTATCACCTTAACATTTATATTCTGAATGAAACAATGGATAAGCCATGCGTAACTAAGAACTGTATTTTTAAAAATAACAATTATTAAATATCCATTATAAATATTCATTTTATTTTAAAAGGATTGGAAGATGTTACATATATTACATACTACATATAATGGCACATGTCAACCTCTTAAGCTTAAAAATAATCTTTCCCAAACTGGGATTGATTTGTACCCCAAGTATAAAATGACCCTTTGCCTATAGCACCAACCCAGACCTAGAGGAAAGCCAATTTTGAACCTGTCTGTCCTCTGGCATTGGGATTCCTGATATGACACTGAGGGTCCTCTCCCTCTGGTTTTAGTCCCTGGCAGTATTGAGGCCTAGCACTGGAACTGTCGGACTGTATACTGCAGGCCTGGGAAATCAGGGAATTTAGAGGGGGCGGGTCCTCTAACAATTTTACAATGGGAAAAAAATTAAATACATATGTTCTTTAATGTCTTTGCTTTTGATCTATACAACTATAACAACACTAAAGACAGACGGAGGTTGAGAATTATTGAAATACAATTTTTCTGCTGGTTTTTCTCCTTGGAAATTGAAGTCTCATGGTAGGAGAAGCCTTAAAAGTTATTCTAGATCAATACTAGTAACTTGCTCTGCCAATAGTATCTCCATTTCCCAGATTTAGGTATAATTCATTCAAAGTTTTAAATGCCATCCATATGCCAAGTTCTTAGACAAACACATAGAAATTTAATAATACTTTTCATGTTCTTTTCCTTAATTCATAAAGACAATTTCTGCCAAATGTTCTGGCTTATGGCTCTCCTCCTCTTCATAGTATGTTTAAATTACACATTAAGAATCCAAAAAATACCACTATGGAGTTTCCATAAGCAATATCCAACTAATCAGTAAAACACAGTACACAGTGTGAAAATTTTAATTTATTCCCCTCTCAAGTATCTTTAACTTTCAGAAATATGATAATGAAAATACCAACAGAATTGATCTTATGAAAAGAAAAGAAAGAAGGGCAAAATACTACACAGGAAATATCCCTAAGTCCTCCCTACCCTAGTAGTGCAAGTTAATGGTATGTTTCTGTCACCTTTCTCACTTGATTTATAAAAATTTTACAGGACAGATTCAAAGTGAAGATAGGCCTCTGGTTTTTATTATTATTATTATTATTTAACCCTACCAGATTTTGAAAAGAGGCTATGTTAAATGACAATGCATTTTGAGTCAGGGGGAGAAAAAAATTAAAAACCCAAAACTTCTTTCAGTTTATTCAAAATAAAAATACACATAGAATTATGAAAATATAGGTTTACTATTTCCACCACATAAGTTGATGCTGTTGTTGCAAGGCTTGCAAATTGTTTTTCAAGTTTTTAAAGCTCATCTCGATCCCTCAATAAAGTATACCTATATTCACTGGGTGCTAGTTTCTGGAAGGAGCTCTCCGGTGGACTGCTTGCTACATCTTGGGCTTGCTATAAAAGAAAGAATAAAACATTTTTGTACCAATATATTTTACAGAGTTATAATATTTTAATAAGAGTAGTAGATAAATGGTAGTTGCCTTATAATTATTTGCTTATTAATCAATAATAGACAGCAACTGTGTGCCAAAGACAAGAGTTAAATCTGAAATCTTCCTCTTCTCATGTCAAATGCTGTTCTCAGATTCTCCCAGGTAGGGCTGCCACAGCACCACTGACTGGGCTTGCTGCAGGTTGCGGAGGCATGGTGAAAGGAAACAAAGCACTGGGCCCCAGATGCTTTACTAGGGCATCCTCTAGGCACAGCCCCTCCTTCCTACAAAGGACTGCCAACAGGATGAAAGGCACTTATTCTCTAGATATAGAACTTATTTATCAACTACCTGGATGCCACAAATTAAAACTTAAGTGAAATAACGAGAAAAAAATACAATACTGAAAAAAATTAATTCCTGTAGTATTTTACTTGTATACCAACTCTAGCCAAAAATACATGGCCATTCAACGACAGCGATTTCCAAGAATTCTAAGAAGGCAGTGTAGTTAGTCCTTTATCTCCACACTGATACTATGCATATGGATACTATCACATACTTTGCATGCTAGCACATTCCCATAAAACAGTAAGCATGGTGTCTACAAACACACCATTTGAATCTGACAATGTTCTATTTCTCCAATACCTTTCCAATTTTTTGCTATGACACATTTGGATTAAGCTGAAATTATATTACTATCAAACAAACATTTATAGTATTTGGTGCCCACTGGGTATTAATATACAAAGATAAATAAATATATATAGTTCACTGTCTAATGAGAACTTGAAACAAATCAGGGTAATGCAATAGTGGTAAAACTACGATCTGATAAAATACTAAACAGGCCTTCTCTGAGGAAAGTAATCACCTTTATGTTATTGCCAATAACAAGTTTGTCTCCTTCTAGAGTTAATTAATTACCAAAGTAAAATCTGACATTTTTTTCAAGGAAAAATCACGTCAGCAGATTTCTAAAGAGAACTGTTGACTCTGAACCTAATCTGACTCTTCAATAAGGTAAAGGAACTTTCAGTTTTTATTTAGTAGCTTCTTTGGGCAAAATAGTAGATTTAAATTTAGGCATATAGAATAAGAGGGATTTAGAATATACTATCTTCCCACTTAGTTTCACTAGATTAGACATTATGTAAATCCTAACACATCAAAATGCAAATTTAGGGCTGTTTAGTAAAGCAGGGACATAAAAATTACTCACAATAAAAGTTACAAAGTAGAAACAGTAAAATCCAGTTTAAAGATGTACTTTTTAGCTTGAGGATTTATATACATATATGACATTTAAGTAGAATTTATACATAAAAATCAAAGGTAAAATTTTGATAAACAGGTGTCAAGCGTTTGAAATCTCAGACAGGAAAGGTACAAAAACCTGAAGTTCTGAACATCAACAATAGTGTATTCATGAAGGCTCTTAGAATCATTTAGCAAGAATAACAAATTGTGGACTTTCCTTTTCCTTATGGCGTGGTCAATCTTCCAGCCACATAGCCAGGCTTGAACAGTTACTATAATCCACTGATTTCCTCACTAATCTGCTCCCAATTGCTACTTCCTACCTGAAGCCACCCGAATTTAACCCTTTAATAATCATATTCCACACAAGTCATACTCAGACCACTTCAGATGATCAAGACACTATATTGTATATTCTACAACTTCTATGAAGGCCTAAAATTTTACAAAAATTATTTAAAAACAGCATAATTTATATATGTTCTATAGTTTGTTCAGAATTTCTTTACAAAGATATTTAAGAGCTAAATCTCAAGCCTATGCAGGAGTTTCAAATCCTCTTTGAGGCTAACAGAAAAAGAAAAAAAAAGAGTTCCAATACAAGTCCTACCTCTCCTGGGGCTATATCAGTTGGGTCAGGTCCATGATGGAATTCTCTGTGGAGTTTTCCAGAATGTAAGTCAAATACGAACTGCTTCAGTTTTCCAGGAATTCTAAAATGAAAGTCAAATAAAATTTTAGCTTAAAGTGCTAAAATAGTCTTTACCAACTTCACAGTTAAAAATAAAAAGTTTAAAACTTTTACCTACAGAACAGAAGACATAATAGGAAGGAGGGAGATAGCGCTTTCTCAAAGGGAAGGGGATCAAGAAATGGAGGGAGGAGGGAGGCAGGAGGGGAGTGATAGGGGATGAAAGAAGGAAGTAAAATGTGTGAGCTCCATGTACCAACTCCTTACAAAGAATATAAATACTATATATTGCAAACATGTACCAAAAAAAAAAAAAAGGAAAGAAATCAAGAAATGGATGGAGGGAAGGAGGGAAGAGGGAAGGAAGGGAAAAAGGATGAAAAAAGGAATTAAGGTGTGTTATATATATGTACCAATTCCCTTTACGTATTATGTACACGTAGCATACCGAGCTAAACAGGTTGATATATCAGACTTTCTTCTATGTAATTATTTCCTTGAGTTGTATCCAATAAGGATCAATGTATTAAAGAATAAGAACTTTTGACAAATACCTGTAAAATTTCAACCAATTTTTGCTATATTTTAAAATTAAAATTTATTTTGCTAATTTCATAAGTAAAAGATATTTATGTTAATTTACATTTCTTCAGAAATTGAACATTTTTTTTCATTGATTGTTTAAATCTGTTTTTGCTCAGATGAACTGTCTGCCTTCTACTGAGATGAGGTACATCTGAAATTCATTATTTATTTTAAACAGAAAGCCTTTATTTTTAATATCAATTGTAAGAATTCAAATGTAGGTCTACACACACTTTAATTCTTTGGATAGAATCGACTTTTTCAATCATTTATTGGTAGCAAAGAATAGCTGGCTTGTGTTAATATTACCAGCTTCTTTTTTCTTTTTGTCCTTTCTTGAAGTGCTAGAAGAGCTGTTTCTTCCCTTCAATAACTCCCACTGAGATGTACCAACCAATACCTTCATTGTACACCCGTTGTGGCTCCCCACTAGCTCCAATGCAACAGAAACCAGCAGGTGCCAAATGCACAGTTTACAAATGCAAATGACTGTCAGGTAGGTATATTGACAGAGTGCCTCTGAAAGGTTCTCTGGTGTTGAAGTAATTGCACATGCAGCAGAGATAAACATTGAGAAGAGATCAATTTAAATTTAATCTGACATCATCTGCTGTCACCCACAGCAAAGTGCTGAAATATCAGTTTAATCCATAGAACTGCAAAAGGTCTATATTTAAGGCCTTGCTAGTTTAATAAGGTCCAAAGACTATCACAAGTAATATAGTAAGAGCTGTGCCTGCTAGTCACAAAATAATTTATGAATGATTAAATCTTAATGTAATAAATTTACAAAGAACACTCAAAACTTTTTTCCCCTAATTTGATTTTTCCTCGTCAACAGATGAGAATAGAGAAAGAATTGTTAGGTAAAGGCAAAGGCAAGGGAAATCTGATGAAACTAAACTGATGTGGTAGAAAAAGATTCCTAAGGAGCTCTTATCTAGTATGTGGCCAGAAATGACCCATGAAGGTTAAGAAGGAATGGGCCAGGGATTTAGCTCAGTGGTTCCGTCGCCTGCCCTGCAAGCACAAGGATCCGAGTTCCATCCCCGGTACAAAAAAAAAAAAATTAAGAAGGAACAATCAGAGGATTAACAGTGAATGTCAAGAAAACACACCATGGTAGAGGCTGTGGATTGAGCTTAGTGGCACCGTGCCAGTGGCACTGTGCCTGCCTCGCAAGTGCAAGGTCATGAGTTCAATCCCTGGTACAAAACAAACAAACAAAAAAGAAAACATAATATGGTAAACATGATCATCTGCAAAGCATTTGGAATGGGAATGTTTACCCTGTGCCACTGTACTTAGTGATTATATAACTTGATTTAGGTTTTAAAGGGGCTTACAACAGAGTCTGCCTTGAGTCTCAGAGGACACTTTGGACTTGGACTTTTTAGCAATGTTGGAACTACTTAGACTTTGGTGATTCTTAGTGATGGACTAAATGCATTTTGTATAATCAAATGGGCATATGCCTTATGGGGTTGAGGAGTGGAATGTTACGGTTTAGGTGTAAAACATCCTGCAAAAGCCTCATGTGTTGGAAGGTGGAAGATGAGGGTCACTGGGGGCATGACTTGGAAGTGTGTATTCCTTGCCCCTGGTTCCTCTTTGCTTCCTAGTTGCCATGGGGTGAGCAGTTGTCCTCCAGCAGGCCCTTCCTCCATGCCATTCTTGCCTTGGAGTGAACCAACATTGCAGACCAGAAGTTACCTCTAAGTTGTAGACGTTGGGTATATTGTCCCAGAGACAGGAAAATGCTTGATAAAATGGTTCTCCTACGATTGGTCCTAAGAGTTTTCTACCTTTACCTTTCTTTCACACTTAGATCTGTGGTCAATTCTAGGTTAATTTTTCAGAGGACAAAATTCATTATTGGTACAAGGATGTTCAGTTGGCCTGGCATCATTTATTGAAGAGACTATCCTTTCTCCATTAAACTGTCTTTTCATAGTTTTAAAAAGTATATTACCATATTGTGTGCCTACTTCTATTCTTCCTATAGCTTTATGTACCTATTCTTTTACCAATACTACGCTCTCTTACTTTCAGTTTATGTCACAGAATTTAGATTTATATCAAAATATTGGGAGAGTCCTACAACATTATTCCTTTTTCAAAACTATTTTGTCTATTCTAGTTTAACCTCCCCATACAAATTTTAAAACCACCCTGTTTATGTCTATAATGAATCCAACTAAGATTTCTGACTGGACTTGTATCAGGTATTTTGGTCAATTTGGGGATAACAGACATCTTAACTGTACTGGGTCTTCCAATCCATAAACACAGGATGTTTCTTCATTTCTTTGATCCTTTTTGATATCTTTCATCAACATTTAATAATTTTCAGCATACAGATCCTGCACATATTTTGTTATATATATACACATACCTATGTAGTTACTTTCTTCTTTTGAAAGTACTGTAAATAGAACTTTAAAAAAATTGATTGCTGGGCTGGGGATTTAGCTCAGTGGTTTCGCCGCCTGCTGTGCAAGCGCAAGGACCTGAGTTCCATCCCTGGTACCCCCCCAAAAAAGAAAAAAACCTGATTGTACATTGCTAGTGTATAGGAATACAAGTGATTTTTTTTTTTTTGTATCCTGATAAAAATCACTTCTCAGTTCTAGGAGCCTTTCATAAGATTCACTGATTTCTACATACATGATTATGTCAAGTACAAAGAAAATGAGTTTTATTTCTTTCCAGTCTGAATGCATTTTATTTATTTTCTCGTTTTACTGTACTGGCTAGAACTTCTAGCACAATAGCAAACAAAGGTGATATGAACAGACATCTTTGCCCAGCTCCTGATCCTAAAGAAAAAGTGGCCAGTCTTTTATCATAACTATGATATTCGCTATAGATTATTTACAGATATCCTTTATAAGATTGAAGAAGCTTCCTTATTTTAAATTTCCCCTATTCCTCCAGCCCCAGTCCCTGGTACCCATTATTCTACTCCCCACTTCTGTGAGATCAACTTTTTATACTCTCACAGTGTGAGATCAAGCAATATTTATCATTTTATGCCTGGCCTAAGATCACTTAATATCATCCAGGTCATCAATGTTATCACAAATGACAAAATTCCCTTCTTTTAAAAAGCTGAATAGTATTCAGTATGTTACATATGCCACATTTTAGTAACTTATTTATCAGTTGATAAGACACTTAGTTGATTCCATATCTTTGCTACTGCAAATGATGCTGTAATGAACATGGGAGTGCAGATATCTCTCTGGCTTACTGATTTCATTTCCTGTATATATACACACCCATTAGTGGAACTGATGGATCATAGAGTAGTTCTACTTTTTTTTTTTGTACCCTAGTAGTTCTAATTTTAATGAAACTTCATACCATATGCATATGGTTAGACTAATTTACATTTCCACCAACAGTGTACAAGGGTTCCTTCTCTTCCATATCACCACTTGCCTTTTTGGAAACAGCCATGAGGGGACTGCTCATTGTGGTTTTAATTTCCATTTTTCGGTGATTTGTGTTGGGCATTTTTTTCATGCATCAGTTGACTACTTGTATGTCTTCTGAGAATGTTCATTTAGATCCTTTGCCCATTTTTTAATCAGGTTTCTTTGGTACCAGGGATCGAACTTGGGACCTTCCGCTTGGCCAGGCAGGTGGTAGAACCACTGAGCTAAATCCCCAGCCCTCATTTTCTTACTATTGAGTTGAGTTCCTTATATATTGGATCTTAACCACTGACCAGGTACATGATTTGCAAATACATACTGTCTCTTATTCCATAGAGCAGTGATGGCGAACTTTTCAGAGCTTTCAATAACAAACAGCCCAGTGCGGCACAGCTACCACTGCTTCTTCATTCTGTAAATTGTTCCCTTTGTTGCATAAAACCTTTTTAGTTTGATATAATCCCATTTATCTTTCTGCTTTTATTGCCTGTAAAAAAATTATTGCCCAGACCAACATCATGGGACCGTCCTCCTACATTTTCTTCTAGTAGTTTTACAGTTCCAGGTCTTGTGGTTAAATATTTAATCCATTTTGAGTAAAAGTTTGTAGGTGGTACGAGATTAGTGCTTAATTTCATTCAGCTTGTAGATATCCAGTTTCCTTCCATTTTCCCCAGCACCATGTACTGAACACTGTTTCTTCCCTCACGTGTGTTAGCACCTTTGTTGAAACTCAGTTGAACATAAATGAATGGCTTTACTTCTGGGCTACTCTGTTCCACTAGTTTATGACTGTTTTACTACACATTGTTTTGATTACTAGTGCTCTGTAGTTTTTGCTGCTATTTTGTTTTGCTGGTGCTGGGGATTGAACTCAGGATCTTTGCAGTGAGCTACACTGTAGCCTTTTAATTTTTATTTTGAGACAGAGTCTTGCTAACTTGTAAGTCACCCAAGCTAGGCTCAAACTTGTAATTCTCTTGCCTCAGCTTCCCAG